CCCTGCATTTAGTGTGGCTGTCATAACTCTGGTAAGGCCAGAGATCTGAGTCGTGGCTTAAAGAAACAGCTGACAAATGCATTTGTATGACTGATGCAAACAGTAATAAACTAACACTGTAATCCTGCGAGATGTGGACAGTAAACATAGCAGCTAAAGTTGGCTTTGTGAAGCTGTCAAATCTACAAATTAACACTTTAAAAACTGCAAACCAAATGGGAGGGTTCACAGTCCAGTGCCAACTCACACACCTTAGTGCAACACATACAAATTCCCAGTTAGTAAATGTGTGATATTGAGGCTCTGTAACAGTATGAGCCCTGAATACACAAGCTAGGTACTGATGACATACACCTACTAAACTTTTCAGAAAGATGACTTCACGTTGTAAAAAGCTGACCAAACTAGATCCTGACATTCCTTCAATGTCAGCTATTGTATAGTAAGAGTCACGTGGTTGAACCTCAGTCAGAGGGAACCTCAGACTAGGCTTCTCTCAATGTTCAGATTACAGAAAGAAATGCATAGAGTGTAATTTTCTTCAAATATCAGTATCTGCCAAAAAGATCTAAGTTTACATCTACCTGGGAGACTCAAATGATATTTCCAGACCTATAAAAACAACAGATATGCATTTGTTGGTGGTAACCATTGACTGTAGAAAAGGTGGTAACAAACAGGGCCTCACCCAGATGTTTTGAGGAAACTGTCTTTAAGAGGATGTGTTAAAGAATGAAAATGCTTCATTTATTCTGCCAAAGAAAGAGGGGACTTTCTGGATGGAACAAGAAAATGAAACAAACAGTTTCTGCTTTTTGATCGTGTTCGAGTCTGTGTTTACCTACTGATCCAAGAGCAGATAAGTCCCAGTGCTGCTCTTAACTTTAATAGATACTATCAGTGTTCAGCAAAGTTTAACTTTAACAAAAGATTGAAGCGGAAATCCCGGGATTGAAGTTGTTTGATATATTAGGTGAGATTGGTTCTTTCCTGACATGTAAAAAAAAATAAATAAAAATCTTGAGCTGATTCCAGATTAAACTACTTGACAACAAGCCTTTATCCATGACTACCCAGGTGCTGCAACAGGTCTGTTTCCAGTTCAATTGCTTGAGGAGCTGAATAGGCCACTGCAGGTTTCATCCAGCTGTGCACCATCTGCTTTGTCACTTCCTTAAGGGCACAAACCTCAGAGTTATCTAAAATCAGACCTTTTTTAAGTTGGTGTGCAGACGCACAGGCATGGCACTCAAGTGAAACGATATCATACCAGAAATATTTCCTTTTTTATATTTTTGATTGTTTGAGCACAATGTGAATCATGCGATCAGTGAAGGATGTGAATGTCCATTGGTGCTAGATGTGTATGTTGGAACAAGCACTGCTTATAATATAAAGGGTGACGTGAACCAGGGAAATAAAAAGGTCTGCAATGTTCTCTTTTTGTAGTTTATGCAAACAAACAAACAAAAAACTCAACACAGTGTATAACCAGCCGTTTTCCCCCCATTTTTATTATTATGTTTTTTTCAGAACAATTCAGTAATCTATCAGACCAAATAAAAATTAATTGGACTCGGGTCTATTATAGTCTTTTTCTGGATATTCTGTGTTTGTTTGTAGGTTACAGGACTAGTTAATATCAGAATTGTTAAACCTGATGTTTATCGGCTCACCTTTTAAAAATTCTGTAGATTTTGCAACCATTGCATTTTCAATCTAAAAATATAGTTTTGTTCTGGGGTTTGTTTGTTTTTTTTGAACATATTGTCACTGAAATGCCAGATTTGCCTGGTTTGCAGCCCTGATAATTATTAGCCTTTAATATGTTTGATTATCAATGAAATAACTTTGTCATATTGCTTCAGTGACTGAAGATTGTGGAAGATGTCCTGTGATTAGTAAGGTTTTCCCAGAGGAAATGTCCATTAGTTGAATGTCCTCATGTGATGATAAAGAGCGAGTTTGCCAGCATGGCCCTGCACTGTGCAGCACTGCCACAACCCTAAATCCCCCCCACCCCCTATCCTTTAAGCAGCGAGCTGACCATCTGTTCGAGACGCCCTAACCCAGTGATCAGAACACACGCTGATACACACAGACGCAGTCGAGTCACACAAACAGGAAAACATTGCACTCAATTAATTCCAGTTTATGGATTCAGTAGTGAGCAGTAAGACTGAGTGACTTATATAAGATTGAAAGAAGTAATGCATATATACAATTCTGTGCGCGCCTGTATGTGGACCATGGCACATGTTTGTATCGAAGTTGTTGAAGTGACACATAGAGAGTTGGATATGGGGCAACAGGAAATGACCAGGGATGGGTGCAGCATTGTATCATTTCCCTGCTGGAGTCCTTTGTACTCGTCTCTGTGCACCTACTATATGTGTCCCTGTTCCATTTCCTGTTTTCCAGGGTTTTTTCTGCTGCGGTCATGGTGCTCATGTAATAGTTGGTGAGGAAATTGATCCAATTTATTTTCAGGCATTGCAATATTAAACATAAATTTCCTCTAAGGAAAACAAGATATTTTTATGACGGATATCTCATAATACATATTTATATTAATTCACATATGGTCAAACACAAGTCAGCGTTTGCGCGATAAAATACGGAAAAATAAATGTCTGGGTGCTATTGACAGGTTCAGAATCAGAATGTCTTTATTGTCATTGTCGCAGGTACAACAAAATTAAAAGTGGTCTCCGATCAGAACATCATCCATAAAAATATAAATAAAAGCAAGAGGGGCGTGATGGATGGGTGGTTGGGTAAAAGTTGTGTTTGAGTCTATTTGTCCTTACACTGATTGCTCTGTACAGTCTGCCCGAGGGCAACAGTTCAGACAGGGAGTGGCCAGGGTGTGAGGTATCTTTTATAATTTTGGGGGCGATCGTGGCTCAAGAGTTGGGAGTTTGCCTTGTAATCGGAAGGTTGCCGGTTTGAGTCCCGGCTTGGACAGTCTCGTTCGTTGTGTCCTTGGGCAAGACACTTCACCCGTTGCCTACTGGTGGTGGTCAGAGGCCCCGGTGGCAGCCGCGCCTCTGTCAGGGCGCCCCAGGGGGGCTGTGGCTACAATGTAGCTGCCATCACCAGTGTGTGAATGTGTGTGTGAATGGGTGGATGATTGTGTATAGTGTAAAGTGCTTTGGGGTCCTTAGGACCAAGTAAAGCACTTTACAAATACAGACCATTTTCTGACCTTTTTTTAAGACGGTATTGTGTAGATCTTTCAGCGTGGGGAGAGAGCAGCCAGTGATCCTTTTGGCGGTGTTAATGACCTCTTGGAGTGACAGTTCTGTCACTGTCTTAAACCTTCCTAATAACAGCTGCAGGAAAAAAATGTGTTTGTTTTTTTTTGGGGGGGGGGGCGTTGGATTAAGGCCATTTTTAATCTCCTCACAGGTTGTACTTGGAAGCATCGTGTTTTTGGGGTTTGTTGCCACAACTTTTGTGCTTTCCTTTCTCAGTATTGTTATGAATCAGGAGCACCTAAAGGGAATTTCTGTACAGTTTTGAATCTGACAGGAATGAGCTGATTCATTCATTCAAATTAAGGTCCATGTATGTTTTTTGTTTATGAGAATTCATGTGCTCATCCTGACATAAATGGTCAAGTGGTGACATTTTATTGTCAAAATGTGATATTTGTCCTGTTTCTAAGTAACAAAGAACCCTCTTTGACCTTCATTCAGCAACGTTCATAAGGCAAAAAAGAGATTGTAACCACTGTAACAGTTAAATCAACTTTGATTCTTGCCAAGTCTTTATATTATGAGTCTGGACACATTCAGTTTACTATCAAGCTACATGAATATTCCTGGGATGTTGAATTTTAGATGAGCATATTACCTATTTTATTAAATAACGTTCTATATGTAAACTGCTTTTATGAATTAATATGTGGGTGTGGATGGGTGTGGGTGTGATGACACACAAGACTGTAATGTTGCCATCGTTAGACGAGGCTTCAGATGTGGTTGGTAGACACGCATACCAAAATAATCTGTCTCCCTTGTTCTTAATTAATTTTTTTTTTTAAATTTCAGTCTTATATGGCATAAATGATCATATTTGCCAAGTAATTATGAGGTTTGTTTACTGCAAGTCTGAACATGAACAAAAATCTACAGTTTGCCTCCAGCGCTCTCTCTTGTTTTTTAAAAGCAGACGTTACATCCTATCACTGTATTCTTGCAATGCTTGATTGTACCTGAACACAGTGTAGTGCATATGAACTCTTATCATTTGTTTCAAAAGGTGATGTGGGCTGCTGTATTTTTTAGTTTTATTATATAAGAGTACACGGATGTTTGACCTCTCAAGAGCAACTTTAGGTTCATTGATTCTGTCAGGTGTGGTCTTTGCTTAGCAGCTTGGTCATTAATTCCAGCTCTTTTCCTGTCCTCGTCTCTCCGTGGCCTCTGCTCGCCCCGTGATGCCCCTCTGCTGTGTATTAAAGCGGGAACTTGTGAATGGCGTGATTGTGCATAGAGTAAAGAGGATGGCAGCTGCTGGCAAGAGCTTATGTGTGTGTGCTCGGCAGTGTGGGTGTGTGCTAATGGTAATCCTGTAGATCCTCATGGCCTCTCCTTTCTATGAGTATACATGTCAGGATCCAGGAAAAAAATTTGGCCCACTGGCAGATTACATAACAGCACATGGTCTTTGTGTCATAATCTGCCAGATTTTGTAATCGGGCAGATTGCAGAGAGCTGCGCTGAAATGCGTGGCCTTAACTCACTAGATTTTCGAAGGTTCATTTCAGTTTTAGCCCAGAGACGTTCTCAAAGCTTCCAGGAGTTTAAAAAATGCATTTGTACTTGTTGATGTTAGATTAAGTCTGCTATGATGAGTTGAACAGAAGTTTATTTTTTCATGTCTTTTGTCATGATAAATAAATAAGTCTGGCTGTTGATTTAGAAGAAAAATGGCTGATCAAGCTATCAAGTTGTTATTTTTTTTAAATCAACCTTTTGTTCTTTCTTTTGCAGTGGTAATGTCTTGAATTGGTGGATCCTCCGACACAGTTAAGAACATGCCAGTGCCGGGCTGCTGCTAATGGGAGCTCCTGATCCACCATGAGTGCTCGTGATGGCGTTGGTGGCATGGGCACCCTGGGTCGTCGGCCGCGCTTCGAGAACTCAGAGTTAACCGTGCGCATCTACCCAGGCGCCCTGGCAGAAGGCACAATCTACTGCCCAATCAGCGCCCGCAAGACCACCACAGCCGCTGAAGCCATTGAACGTGTCATTGAACGGCTCAAGTTGGACCGCTCCAAGTTTTATGTTCTGGCTGAGGTGAAAGAATTTGGAGGTGAAGAATGGATTCTGAACCCCAACGACTGTCCCGTGCAGAGGATGATGCTCTGGCCCCGTATCGCACTAGAGCACCGGCCGCTGTCAGGTGGCGAGGATTACCGCTTCCTGCTAAGGGAGAAGAATCTGGATGGCTCGATTCACTATGGCGGCAGCCTTCAGATGTGGCTGCAGGTCACACAGGAGCGCAGGCGCCTGATGGAGCGTGGACTGCTGCCACAGCCTGAATCTCAGGGTGACCACGCAGATATGTGCTGCCTGCCAGAGCTCAACGAGCGCACGCTGCTGGACAACCTGCGCTCGCGCTTCCGCCAGGAAAAGATCTACACTTACGTTGGAAGCATCCTCATCGTCATTAACCCCTTCAAATTCCTGCCCATCTATAACCCCAAGTATGTGAAGATGTATGATAATCATACACTGGGAGATTTGGAGCCACATATTTACGCCGTGGCGGATGTGGCTTACCACGCCATGCTGCAGAGACAGAGGAATCAATGCATTGTTATATCTGGGGAGAGCGGCTCTGGGAAGACGCAAAGCACAAACTTCCTCATTCATCATCTGACTGCTCTCAGTCAGAAGGGTTTTGCTAGTGGAGTGGAGCAGATCATCTTGGGGGCGGGGCCAGTATTGGAGGTAAGCAAAACATACAGTCACTGGGTTTCAGTCATGCAATGTATACATAAGAGGAACAGGAATGCTGTCACCCATATGTTTAAGTTCTGTTTAAAGCCTCAAGTTTAGCATGTTTGGCGGACACCATTTTTGTTTTTTTGAAACCATAAGGGGTGGAACTAATTGAGAAACCTTCATTGTTTTTCAGTTGCAAGCTAGCCACACCCAAAAGCATACTGTGCTTTGTCTATTTTACTCTGTATATGGGAGTCATATTGCACATATTGGTCTGTGCGATATGACCAAAATCTCATATCCCGATATAAGACATCTATCATCCCGATAACGATATAAATCACAAAAATGTAACATTTTCTGTAAATTCTGTGAATGTCGGGCAGCTCGACTTGCATGAAGTGTTTTCAGCTGGGCACTGTGTACCTGGAGTTCAGACTTTTAACCGATGCATGAAGCTATACATTTTATACATTTTTAGACATAAGTTGTAACGGCCACCAGTTTCTTTGTATTTATTACACGGCGTGCTCTGGAAAGCCTGTTCTAACGTTTGAGTCTAAGGTTGTTGTTTTTTTTAGCACCTAACGCTTCTCATCCGTAAACTCTCTGCATACTCTTTCACGTGATTCAGTTTATTTTGAAAAGTCTCAACAGGATCTTGAGCTTTTGTGAAAGGTTAATATGCAAAACAAACAAGCGGATGGCAGAGCCACGCCATTGTTTTACCGTTGTGGTTGCTAACGACAACGTGTAAAAACAGTCACTTGTCCGTCCGTAGTGTGGTTATATTAAATATAAGAGAAAGACAGAACTTTAACCAATTAATATAGCCACTACAGTGACCATCAAAATGATGAAAAAATATTGCAGTAAACAGTTTATTTTGCGACACCACAAAACAAACGATGGCGTCATATGAAACTATAGATGGTTTTATATCATCATCCGATATATATCGTTATATCGAACAGCCCTACTGGGAATTTTGTTATAATGAACATCAATTTGATGTCTGTAATACTTAAAGCCTGCATTTGCGACCACACTCTCCTAAGGAAAGTGTTTAACTGAGATCATAAATCAGTCGAGCATTGGGACTGTTTTCTCATGCACATCTATACCATCACAGCACTCTTTCTAATGGCCATTAGAAGGAGTGCTGGTTCGTAGAAGAAGTACACAATGGATAATTTGAGACTTGATCCCCCCCCCACCCTAGAAGATCAGACGTCATGGTACAATTTTTTGATTATGTCATAAAACTATTTTAAAAAAAGCTTCTATAACACTGCAGTTGAAGTGTGTTATTAAATACCTGTTTTGCATACAGACCTCAGCTCTCCTGATCATGTCTCTGTTAGCTTTGCAGTTTAAATTGATTCTCCGAGATTCTCTCGTCCTTGAACTGACCACTTAAAACGTAACTTTTCCTCACTTAAAACCTTGATGGCTCTTGTTAATAGAGCAGCCTGGTTGACTTTGACTTTAGCTGAAACTGGGAGAAGAACGTCTGTAGGTAATATTTAATGGTTACCATGTCCACTTTTTTCTTTTTTTCAAATTCTGTTGGCCTGTTGATTTTTGCCCATATACTCAAAATGGCTGGAAGTGAATGTGAGTTTCTTTGTGGTTTTTTACACAACACTGGTTAGCCACAACTGGTTGGCCTGCAGTTGTGTCTGCCCTCATACAGAGGTTTATTGCATGTTTAGTCCAGCTGTGTGGGGATTATATTAGTGCACAGAGGAGCTCTATCTGCAAACAGTCAGTAGCCTATCAGTGCTACAGTTGTAGTTTTTGATTTTTCTTTCTTTTGACCAGCACACTGGATTTATTGTTTCAAGGTAGAGGCCCAGCCAAAGGTTAAGAAGGACACAATTATGTCACTTAAGACATAGAAAGGCATTGTACTCTTTTTCTTCTTGAGCCACTGGTATGCAATTCATACCATTCGATAGTCTTTGACAAGTTCACAACTGCACATAGTTTTCATATCTCTCAACATGATCTAAATTCCTAAAAAAGTTGTATAACACCCTTCATCTGTATGCACGTTTCTAGTCTGTAGTTGTATTTAATGAGAGGTCGTATTACTCATTGTCACATTACCTGATCACCTGCTGTTTACACTCACAATGTTCAGAGCAATGTTTCCTCATCGCAGCATAACCAGCTTGACTGTATGACCTTGTTAAATTGTCTGTCAAACAACTTGAATTAAAATATTATGATAGGGCATAATAGAGTAGGACCCCTCTTTATACAGTGTATAAAGAGGGGTATATACAGTAACAAATACATTCGGTCATGTATCATAAAACAAGAAAATGCTTATATTTTTAGAAATTTAGAAGGAAGTCAGAAATTGATGAAGCTTAATATTGATGTTTCTGTTAATAACTGCAGATTGACAAGTTAATCAAAAGATATTTGTGCGCTTTGCTTTTTTTTTTGTTTTGTTTGGGTTTTTTTTAAGCTTGTTTTGTAAAAAGGTAAATTTGAAAATCATGAAAAACAATAGCAATTAAATTTTAGCATTAAAAATATGAGGCCCGCGGGACCTTTTCAGGTTCTTGATGCCGTGTTCAGTGCCGTCTTTGACAAAATTCAATTTTGGTGACCCTTACGTACAGGTGATGTACCCCGAACGTGACACAGGAAACAAATGTAAGTGGGGAATGAATAAAAAAATATAAATTGAGGTTTATATGGCTCAATATAGCAAGATAATTTTGATTAAAGTGCTTGCGCATGCTGTTAGATGAACCATTACATAAACATAAAAAATAGTTTTGTAATTAGCATCACTCTTAATCTAAGCCTGCTGTGGCATAAACCTTACTTTGGGTGGTGGTCGAATAAATTTGTTAAGCATTGTGCGTATTTTTAAAGTCTCTCCCCACATGGTAATTTGTTTCCATCGCTATCAAAGCTAAGTCAAATTGACAGTGGTAGATTAGAAGCCAACTTCAAAGGTGACGAGCAAAACAACAAGTCATGCAACAAGTAGCTCTACACCACATTCATTACCCTGTGTTTAAGCAAGGCAGCTCTAAGGAATGCCATTCATTTGTGCGACTCTGGGGTTAATGTGTAAGCATGTTGAGTTAATCCACAACACGGCAACGTGAGTGAATAGTTTTAAGTGCAGAGGAGCAGCCTTTAATTGTTTGCACAGTAAGATTGCATATCTGCCTGCTGGTGATTAATGCAGAGACTGTAGGTGCGGCGCTACTGCAAAGAGGCTGAAGGAAGGGCGGAAGGAACATCAAACAAAGTCTCCTCAAAGGGATAATTTGTCTCATTTCTTTTAAGCTTGTCTTTTAAGAAAAAACACAAGTACATGATTCTTTTTAGTTGTGGAAATAAAATCCATGTTAGAGTTTTAACTTCTGTTGGTGTTAATGTGCTATCAGCTTAATGTAAAGAATTTTGAACGTAAACTTGACGTTTACCTTAACACTGCCTGTTGGTTTGGTGGTTATCAGTCTGTTTGTGCTTCTTCAGGAGCGCCACTGCATCTGCTCCTCATCTCTCCTTGAGACCGACTGTAAAAGGCCACATCTCTTTGGAAGTTGGGTTGCATTTTAGGTATTTTTAGTTGCACATCTAACTTCTTTTGATTATTCTTTCAATTTCTTGACTGACCTTTCCTTCACACTCCCAAATATGTGATGGATAATTTACAGTTTTGCTAATCTGTTTAGAAAATTTAAACAGAGTCTTCTGGAAGCCTTTTTCTTGACACTCAGCAGCTCTTTGTTGAGCATCTATTTTGAGGTAGTAATGTAAATTAACTCAACAATAAAATTTCATTAAAAAGCTTTTAAAACATTTGCTGCTTTTACCCCAAATAAGGTTGTAAAAAGTTTTTTTTGTTTTCCTCCTGGAAGTTATCCCTCTGCTCCCACAATCTTTGTGGTGACAGAATATTTCCACAGACCTCAGTTCAGGATTTTGTGACTGCCAAATGTCTCCATTATAATGCTTCTGGTTTAAGCTGGTATGGAGGGAAATCCAGTTTTTATTATGTCATGCCAGTGTTAATCAGAATTTAGGTTTAAGAAACGCCAAACAAGCAAATTCAAGTAGAATTTTTTTTTTTTTGTGTCTTCTGATTTTTTGAAAAAAAACAATGGCAAAATGGACCACACGTGGTGGTTTGTCAAATACAAATCTAAGATAATGTGGTGGATTACGGCAATTCACAGAGTGGTGACGTGTATGATTGCTTGTATGAGCAGCATAGAGCGCTTTACTAACACAGATCACAGGTTTACAGACCATCAAGTAAGAAAAAAGTGTTCGCCGGTGAGCGACTTTAATTTCCTTGCAATGTGTTTTTTAGTGGTGGTAACTTTTGCTTTCATTTACTCTGACAAAAGTAAAAACGTAGTCATTTCCCCTCACACTTGGGCCAGGTCATTTAGGAATGACTCATTTAAAAGACCAGGACAGTGCTCAGGCATCACCCTAAAGTAAAGGAATACTATACAAGGCAGAGCACACAGACATTTTCACTGTCAGTTGAAGGACAAAACCACCCCGAGCTAGAGAGTCAGTTTTTTCCATTTTCTTTTTTAAACTCGTGATACAGGATATCACTTACAAAGGGGGTCGGTCTGGAAACCAGCCAGCAGCTGCGGTTACGTGTTAAGATCATGACAAGCTCTGTCCCTCAACTGTTTCAATTAATATAACTGAGAAGGAGATGAAAACGCACTCTGTCAGGACATGTTATTCCAGTTAGATAAACACAGCTTGTGTTTTGGTTCATTGTAAATAACCTTTAAAATGAAGGCAGTTAGAGCTATGACAGCCTTCAAATTTCGGTTAGACGTTGAAGGGGGAATAAATGTATTTTACTCACACTGCCCTCTGCAGCTTTGGACTTCATTTGACCCGAGAGATTGCAGATGAATACACGCATGCATGAAATGGGACAAATGCTTCACCTAGTGTTGATTTTGTGCTTATCTGCTGTCTGTCATTCCTGACGTTTT